ATATTGTTTACTTTCTCTATATATATTTGTCAATTTGTTTTTAAAAAATTAATTCTTCATTTTTTAAGACCATAAAAAGCATAAAGTTTGGTTGATTATCTACAATTATTTAAATTTCTTCTCATCACTTAATTCGTCGAAAATAATTTTTTTTTTTTTGCAGTTTGATTACAATTTTAGTTCAGCTCTCTACAATACTATCAGTAAGTGTAAGTATCATAATTGTATTTTCTTTTGTAGTTGATTATTGCTTGTGCTTTTTAATTCGTGTGCTGTTATGTGTTTTTCTCTATTATATGGAAATTAAAATCGTGTGATTTTATTCTTTTTCGTTAACATTTATTCCTTCACAGGAAGAAAAATTAACACACATCTTGGAATTGGATTTTTCATGTTTCATTTGCCTGAATTGATAGTTCAATTTTGGAAATTTAGTGAGTCAGTATGTGTTTGTGAGTGCGTTAAAAGGTGAATTGAGTTGTGAGCCGGTTAAAATTTTCAATTTACGCTGATTAAAATTTTTCTTTGGATTGTTATATTTTCAGATGATCAGGGATGCTTCTATATTTGTCATATATTGTTTCTTATTAACAGACAAAGTAGTGTTCATTTTTCAGATTTTCGACTCACTGTTGAATATTTAAAATCTACTATTTTTCAACTTTCAATAACTAAGAATGAAATATCTCTTGTTTTGTACACAAATTCTGGCAAGAGCAGTACTATTTTAGTTGGGGCATGTACGTTGTTCTCTTCAATAACTCAGTTTTCTGAAAATATATCTTAATTTAATGGATGTAAGTGAAGTCTTATGTTCTTTTCCTTTGTTGTCGTATCATTCGGGAAGATTATACCTATTTCATCTGGTTTTTCCCCCCTGGTGGTACTAGTAATTGTCTAATTTTGCAAATATTGATGTAAAATAGTATTCTTGCTAATATTGGTTTCTTTTATTCATTCTCACGATGCACACACAGTTTAATTCTCCAAAACTGCATTTTCTTTTCTATTTTGTTCAGTGGCGTTCCATATATTCTATGACTTGGGTAGCAACATTCCTTAATGATTATGTTGTGGAAACTAGGAAAATGGCTGGAAAAGTTGTTGCCAATCGACCAATGTCTATTTCTGACTTTGAACTTGTTGAGAGAGATTCTGATGACACTGGTGGTAGTGCAGTAGTATCTTCTAACCAGATCCACCCTTGGATCGACCCAGCAACAATTAAACTCAAGCACAGAATTGGAAGAGGGCCATTTGGTGATGTTTGGCTGGCAACACATCACCGTGCAATGGAAGACTATGAAGAGTATCATGAAGTGGCTGTTAAGATGTTGCATTCCGTTAAAGAAGATAATGTTGAAGATGTCTTGCTAAAGTTGGAGGATTTACTTTCTAAATGTAGGGGGTTAGAAAAAGTCTTCTGGCTTCATGGTCTTTCCATCATAAGTAAGAAGGTGAGTATGTTGTTCGAACTATTTTACAATGCTGAGAATCTGGATATCTTTCCCCACATGTATTTAAAAAGGAAGAAAATAAACAAATTCTGGCAACCGTTCTTCTGAATGGTCTATATTTCCTTCTAGATATGCGTTGTCATGAAATTTTATGAGGGCTCAGTTGGGGACAAAATGGCTCGCCTCAAAGGGGGAAAGCTCTCATTGAGTGATGTTTTGAGGTGATTTTTTGCTTTATGCATCTGAGAAACACATCAATAAGTACTTTTCCCTAGTTAAAAGTTTTTATTGCATAAGACGCTCGCAATTTCCATGGTGGTGTTATGTTCACAGGTATGGAGCAGATCTGGCTCAAGGAGTAATGGACTTACACTCCAAAGAGATCCTCATTCTCAATCTTAAGCCTTTTAATTTCCTTCTGAATGAAAATGACAGAGCGATTCTTGGAGACATAGGAATTCCGTACGTGTTGCTTGGCATTTCTCTGCCAAGTACAGATATGATTCAGAGACTTGGTACTCCTAACTACATGGCTCCAGAACAATGGCAACCCGATGTTATTGGTCCTCTATCCTTCGAAACTGATTCATGGGGGTTTGGTTGCAGCATAGTCGAGATGTTGACTGGCATTCAGCCTTGGAGTGGTAAATCAATTGATGAGATACACAAACTGGTAGTAAAGAAGCAAGAAAAACCACAAATACCCAGTGGGCTCCCTCCTGCTGTTGAGAACGTCATTATTGGTTGTTTTGAGTACGACTTCATGAGTCGCCCTATGATGGCAGACATATTACATGCGTTTAAAAGGTATATTCTTTTCTTTTTTCCTTCTTCGTGTTTAAATTTCATTAAGAAAAAAATGAACTGTTGTAGAGGAATTTGTAGTTTACCATGCATTTAGTTCACAGTTTGGTCATCTTGCAGGTCACTAAAAATGCAAATCCTTGTAGAGAAAAAACTACCTTTCCAAGGGATCAAATACTTGTAATTTGTTGAACTTATCAAGGGCAAGAAATTACCAAAGTATATACGAACAAAATTTACAAATGCCTGGCAAACTCATTGTTTTGATATCTTCACGTCAATGTCTTACCTGATTAATGCAAGAATGTGTAAATTATTGAGCAAGCGTTAGTGTTCTGATAGAATCAAACTTTTAAAAAAAAAAAGATGATCTACTGATGTCAGCACCTCTAAGTTTACAGCAATAATCTTGACCGTTGAATCAACTGCGTTTTGTAACTACACTGTTTTTCAGATACGTGCTGTTACTAAATATTTTGTCACTGTATTCTTCAGGCTTCAAGTGGCTTGTGCATGTATTCTTAAGCCAACTAAATTTTACCAATTTGCAGTTCACAAAATGCAGTTTCCCAAGATGGAGGCTGGACAGGTCTTGGAAGTAGAACTATAAGAGAAAAACCTGGTGTTAGTAATTATACCGAGTGGTTCCTTGCGAAGGATCATCTGCAAGTGGGTGACATGGTACGATCTAGAAAGTCACCAAACTCGTGCAAACCTGAAAACATGGACGTTCTGGAGGGAAGTGTTGTTGGTTTAGAAAGTGATACAGATCGAGATGGACTTGTTTTGGTGACGATGCATGGACTTCATGACCCAATAAGAGTTCATGCTTCTACATTAGAACGTGTCACGTTTGGAGTGGCTGCAAGAGATTGGGTGCTTTTGAAGAAAGAAGAAAAGAAGCATTCGCCCGTGGGTATTCTTCACTCCATTGACCGTGATGGAAATATAGCTGTTGGATTTATAGGACTAGAGACTCTTTGGAAAGGCAATTACTCGGAGATCCAGATGGCAAAACCTTACTGTGTAGGGAAGTTCGTAAGGCTGAGATCAAAAGTTTTCAGCCCTCGTTTTGAATGGCCATGGAAAAGATGTGGTGAGTGGGCAGCAGGAAGAATTTGTCGGATACTTCCAAATGGCTGCCTTGTGGTTGAGTTCCCGGGTAGATTGATACTTGGTGATGAAAACAAAAGCTTCTTGGCTGATCCAGCTGAAGTTGAACTTGTGTCATTCGACACTTGTCCAGGCTTGGTGAAGAAGTATCAACATCTGGAGGATTTTCACTGGGCGGTCAGGCCATTACTGATAGCATTGGGTCTGTTTACCGCCACGAAGCTAGGGCTTCATGTTACGAAGAAATTGGGGAGGTCAAAGCTGAAGAAGGGATGTAATCCCATCATACAAAATGATGGTCAACATGTCGATGGCCAAACTGTTGAGAACACGGCATGGCGTCCTTCAAAAGTCGCAAACATTTTCAGGTAAGGTATTGAAGAAATGTCTCCGTGGTTCTATAACTCGGCCTGTTATTGAAAGCCGTAAATGCAAATTTCGTTAATATCCATGTCAAATCTGGCAAGTTCTTTCTCCAGTATTGCTGTTTTTGTAAATAGATGGTTGTTCATAAAAGTACTGTGTATAACACGTATGTATGTTCAATAGTCTTGTGTATATAAGTCATAAAATACATTTATGTTCAATGATTTCGTGTATGTTGTCTGTGGAAACCTGCAATAAGTTAAAAAGAACCAGTTATGACTAAGAGCAAGATGTTGGATTCGAAACTCATTTCTCGCCACCCCTTCCCGGTGGATCCAACTCATAAATGACTTTGTGGTATATTACGATGCGAAAAGGAGAATGAGAGTAGACATAACAATTGACGGGCAATAGCCCATAACAAATACATCAGCATTTTATTATGAATACTTGCATTCTCCTTTCTTGGCTGAGTGATCCTGCACATTATAAGGGTGAAGGTTGGAGGCATTTCTTTGGGTCTAAGAGTATCCTTAGCCAAAAGAGCAGGAGAATGAGAATGTCCATAAGAAAATTGTACAGTTCCTTGTGTTCATAAATTTTTTTATCTTGTAAACATGTCGTGCTTTTGGATGAATGCTAAGCATAATTTTTATTACCTAACCCGTTCGGCTATTTCACTGATTTCACATCCAAAATTACAGTTTATCAGTAATATCCAGAAGTGTAGTTCTCATTCTCTCGCAGTTAAGTTAGGAAATTTCAATTGATAATTTTAATACAGACTTGCAACTGTCATCACATCGAAACCGGTTAAAATTTCAGCAAAATCACTGTGTCACACGAATGAGTCTTGAAATTACAGCGATCAAATTGCCCCATTTTTTCACAAATACGAATGCTCTTTGAAATGTTTACATCGAATCGAAAGAACCCCATATATCGTTCTGGTAGAGTCATAGATACCCAATAAGGAAAAATCATCTGTTTCAGGTCTCTCATGTCCACAAGTATGACGTATATGAGATACAAACAAGAAGTTTACATTAAGATAAAGTACAGTATGATGAACAAATATACCCAATCATCTATTTCAGATCTCTCATGTCCACAAGTATGAAGTATATGAGATACAAACAAGAAGTCTACATGAAGATAAAGTACAATATGATGAACAAATATACCCAACCTACGGCAATTAGCTGGTTAGATACAGATAAATGCACTACTATATAGTCAACAAAATAAACATAACCTCTATTAGCTCGCGCTACCAACAATGCCGGCCTCATCAACAAGCTGCTCAGTCAAAGCCAAGAGTCGAGCAACTTCTGCTTTAGCTTCACCAGAACAAACACTGCCATCAGTACCATTGCGCTCGAAACACATGGTATCATAATCAACATCGATGCTCAAACTAGATTTATTTAGAAGCTCTCGACTTATTTCTGTGAGTTTATGAAGTGCACTAGTTGCAGCTTCAACCTCCAGTTGTGCTGCTTCCAACTGGAGTTCCTCAATTGCTAGGTCCCCAACAGTCTTTTCACCTATTTTTTCTTGTGCCAAAGCATAAAGCTGTTTCAGTTCATCATGATCTCTGTTCATTTCTTCCTTCAGTTTTGTTAGTTCCTGCTCTCTGGCATCCAATTTGCCAAGAACCATCTTTAACTCCTCGTCTTTGATGGTGATATCCCTTTGTGCTGCAAGAACTTCCATCTCCTTCATTCTCAAACTTTCTCGGGTAAAGTTGAGTTCAGTTTCAAACTGTTTCTTCTGCCACTTAAAACTATCAGCTGATTTCTCTGGTGACAACTGGTGATATGTATAATCAAGTCCACTCAAAGCATCATAATTTTCATCCTTAACAGACAGAACCACTTCGTTAGTTACCTCTACAATCCGTTCCAAAGCCGATTCAGCTTCAGAGAACTTCTGTTTTGTATCATTCAGTTCATGTTGCATTGCCTGAACATGTTCATCCTTTTCCTCCAGCATGGACATTGCTTGAATAAGCTGATTTTCTTTACTGTTCATAATCCCCTTTAGTTCATCTATCTCCTGGTTCACGTCCTCCAGCATCTTCCTTGCACTTGAGAGTTCCAGATCTTTTTCTTCCAAGATAAGCTGAAGGGAGGTAAGCTCAGACTTCAAATGCTGGATCTCTAGTCTAGCTTCCACCAATTCCGACTCTTTAACCAGAAGAAGAGACTGTTTCTCTCCATATTCATTGTTCTTATGGTCGAGCTCCTCCTGTAGAGCTGACATTTCCTGAATTGCTTGTTGCAAGGAAGATCTCTCCGTATCTAATTTCTTTTGTAACTCTCCAACAAGCTCTTTCTCCAAGTATAAATCCCTTTCGAGCTCCTTGTTTCGAGCTTCAGCAACCCTAAGTTTTACTCTCTCACTCTCCACTTCAATTTCCGCATCTTTCAGACTCGTCATATAGGACATAACACTCCTCCTCTGCTCTTCAATTTCAAGAAGCTTCTTTTCCAGTTGCTGTTCTCGATCTGCCATTTCCTGTCTAGAGGAGGCCAAAGCTTTCTGAGACGAAACTAACTCAAACCTCACATCTGCAAGAAGCTTCTTCACTCTTCCAAACTCCTCCATAGTTCCATTCGCTTCCCCAAAATGTTTAGATGTTTCCTCTGCAAGCTTTTTCAATTCTTCCTGCACCATGAGCCAATCCATTGCTTGCTTCTCCAAATTGGCCTCAGCAATTTTCAATTTCTCTGCTTCAATTTTCTGCATACTCATGGAAACTTCTAGTTCTTCTTCTTTCTTTTGAATTGCTCTCTGGAGTTCTTGGAGTTCGGCTTCTTGTTTTTTCACAATTTCATTTGCTTCATCCAGGAGCTGGGCCTTGGATCTGAGTTCTGATTCAGCATCAGCAGCTTCCTCACTCTTCTTCATCAATTCATTTTGCATTTTTATAATTTCCTCTTCTTTCATAGATAGGGCAGATTGAGCAGCTGAAATCTCTTGATCTGTCTCCTTGAGACGAAGCTTAAGATCACCAATTTCAGTAGCTTGCGAAGCTAAGCTTATATTAGCTTGCTTTAACTCATCTTCTATCCTTTCCTGCTTCAATCTAGCCGCTTCTATTTCTTTCTCCCCCCTCTCTAAGTCCTCTTTTGCACGATTAATTTCATTGTACTCCAACATTACCTTCCTTTCTGCATCTTGTAAATCTTCCTCTTTCTTCTTCAAGGCCAGCAGTACAACCCGAAGATCCGATTCCAGCTTACCGAGATTCAAACCTAACTCAGAAACTAAAGGCGAGTGAGGATCTCTGCCTATCTGTTCCTCCAGTTTCTGTGTTTGCGCGAACCACCTCTCCAGAAGAATCCTAGCAGGTTCAGTTGCCCCATTGTCGCTAACACTTGAAGACCTCCTGTCATTCAAGACTGATTTGACAATCCACAAATATCGACTTCGACCCTTTCTTTTGTGCCCTGTAAAAAATGCTAATCTCTTCTCTTTTAATTTGAGCCCAGAATAGCACATCTGCAAAAAACAATTGACCATCAGACCATTGTACAACTCTTTATCTATCTTTTTCATGGTGTACACCATCGAGTCCATAATCTTCCTATAGTTTTGTCCTCGTACAAAATAGATTTGATAACCAACTTAAAACAGCTCACTAAGCATCGACATGGATCATAAATTCCTGTAAAACATGCAAAGACAAATAGAGAAAATTGAACCAGAAAACAAACAAAGCTCAATTTAGAACTTTTGATCCGCCCGCAACACGATTAAGCAAAATATATACATGCCGAACTCTATACAGATACGTTTATGACTTTACTAGAGTTGCCTACATTTACTCCTGATAGAGGCAGGTCCATAAAATAAAAGAACAATATATGCACACAGAAACACAAATAAGAAGATAATTACCGTTCCCTGATAGCTTACTAAGATGTAGTTAGGACCATGTTGTGATTCAGGCCTATCAAATTTGGAATGAAGTAAGCGATGTATCTGAAAGACCCGTACAGAATCACATTAGTAGACCCAATGCTTATCGTGCGTTAATGATGGATGCCAGCTAGACGCAGACTCTATAAATTATCCAATACTTAAGAATAATAATTAAAAGCTGTCCTTTGAATTTAATCTTCAGCTCGTTTTTCCTTGATCGTTTACTAGGTTGGAGCTACGAAGCTTACCTTATTTACATAATTAAAAAGGGAAAATGGCTTTTCAGAATTCAGCTTACCACTCGCTTTCTCCACAAACACGTGGAAAATAATTCAGCTAATACCTAAACAATTATGCCTCTTTTACCAAGGTTAAACTTGTTATACAGATACTAGACAAATTGCATCTTTCGGTATATTATCACTCTCTTTTGTTTTAGTTTGCACCCCAAATTAATCAAAGAATTGCGAATAATGCATTTACTAAAACAATGATCTTCATAGACGAGATATTGAAAATCAATACAACCAAAATTCCAGTCATTAATCAAAAATAGTCAGCAAAAAAATCATGAAATTCGAAAACACGCAAAAAACATTTACTCTTCTTATAGACCACAAATTGAGGCCGCGAAAATTATGAATAACAAAAAAAAAAAAAAAATCGTGCGACGCACACAAGCACTAATATACTCGAGAGATAAGAACCTGAAAAAGTTGATTGGGTGCGAAAGACGCAGAGAACGCCATGCTTTATTTTTCCAGCATATCTGATCTCAACTGGATCTCACATACATTTATTAGGTATTAATAGTATGATGGATGAAGAGAGTGTATATCTACGTATGTGTGTGTATATAGATAGAGAGACTTGAAGGTGCGGTAAGGGATTGCAGTGGAGGGAAACAAAGTGCGAGAGAGAGAGAGAGGCGTACCGAGATGAGGCTAACGCACTACAGTATATCCACTACAGTATTCTCCAATTTCATATAATGTCGGGATCACTTGGGCATATGCGACTATACATATGAAAAGTTTGGAAAATCGGTCTCCAATTTTTATCTTCTTTCACGCTTTTATTTTCAGACTTTGTATCTTGACATTCCTATCCTAACCTTATATGAATTAGTGATCCTCGTGAAAAGTTAAAAATAGTAATATCTAGAAATAAAAATTGGAATCTGAAAATAAAATTGCAAATATAGATATAGATTGAAAATAACAATCGCAATTAAGTCTGACAAATTACCCTTAACTATAAGCGACATGCTAATTACTACATAAAAAATTTACTGGCATAATCTTCAATGAAAAATTGATGATAGTCTGCAATCGCATTTTGGCAACAAATAAATTTATTGTAACAAAGTTCACAAAAGTTGCACGACAAATAATTCATAAAGCGAAAGTCGAGATATCTCAATAGTCATATATTAGAATAACACGATATTTAAAAAAAAAAAAAAGCTAGTAATTCAAGATCATCATCTTCCAATCTACATGTGTACATATTATAGTGGAAAACTTTTGTCTTCATATTCCTTCTATAATGACAAGTATTTTCCAGGGATTTCGATAACGTATGAAAGTTAAAATTAAATAGAATCTTCCTAACAAATTAGGGATCATCTTTTATGAGATTTTAAATGACAAGAATGCTCGTTTGCAAGACAGATGAACATAAACTCGACAAAAGATCAGTAGAAAACGGGACAAGAATGACACTTGGCATATAGGAAAAACCACATTTTACAAATTTTTCTATTCTTGTAATATGAACATAAGACTATCAAATTTGTACACGCAGTGTCATTTACGTTTTTTAAACAAAATACAAAAGGCAGTTGAGGGATTGCAAGAAACTGCACCAATCCGAAATGCAATTTGGGGTTGGATTTTTGTGGAAGCGTGAAACAGTGACACGTGTAGTTTGTTGTTACCACCAAAGCAAATAAGGTTCTCGGGGAAAGACAGCTACTCGGTGGGACCTATAGTTTCATGATCATATCACAGGATTAATGGAGCCTACACTTTATCTAAAGTCTAGAAAGTTCTAAACATATTATTGGCTTGTATAAATATTCGTTGCATTTTATAAATTAACTCAAAACTTTTCTATACGTTGAACCACACAATCTCTAAAAAATTACTATTTGTTGAAGATTTTAGAACTAATTTCAAGTTGGTATACTTCCATATAAAGACTGACTGTAAATATGTTTTCTAGATTAGAGATATGCTCTACTAGCTGAGAGATTTGTACTTCTAAACTTTAGCATTCCAACTATGTATAGTGGTTATTTATACCCACAATATTGTAAAGAAAGATGAATAAAATGCACCAAGATTTGACTTGGTATCGGAGCTTTCCAAAAAATCTCCATCGAAACATAAGCCTCCCATACTACTCTGAACAACCATCGCAACAAACAATCATATGGCTTCCGAATCCTCTATTCTTGAACCATCAACCTTCGTAATCCATATCCAATCTGAAAATTTTGGCTTTCATGCCGGAGTTGTCCTCACCGAAATTAACTATGATGTATGGTCTCAAATATTAGAGATGCAAATCGTAGGACGTGAGAAGCTCGAATATATTATGGGTAAAACTGATCCGCAAAGGAAACTGATGCTACCTATGCAAAGTGGTATGCAAAGAATCAAAAGGTCAAGGGCTGGTTGCTGACCTCCATGTCTCCGGAGATAATGAAGTGTTATTTGCGATTGTGTACTGGAAGAGAAGTATGGAGTGCTCTTGCCAAAGCATTCTATGATGGATCGGATGAGACACAACTATTTGCACTAAATCATCGTGCCTTCACCACCAAACAAGCTGGTCGACCTTTATCAACTCATTACGGTAAACTTCTCAAAATTTTCCAAGAATTAGATCATCGTGATAGAGTTGTCATGAAGAATCCCGATGATATTGTCACCTATAAGAAATCTGTTGCACGGTTGAAAGTATAGGTAGGCAAAACCCGATCGAACTCGCCAAAATCGCCAAACCCGAACCAACCCGATCGTTTTTGGTTGGTTTTTTTGTTATTTTTACACGGGTTGGGTGGGTGGCTGTGTAGGCGGGTCGGGTCGGGTTAACTCATGAAAATCGAATAAACTTACTCAACCCGACCCACCTACTTAAAAAAAGAAAAAAGAAATAAAATGCCTAAAAAGTAAAAGGAATCTAAAAAGTATGAGTAGATAGTGTAACTCTAATTAGCTTTATGCATTTTAGAGGAGGAGTTTACTCTCATTCCCACAAGAAATTTAGTATAACTTTTTCATGTTATGTTAAATNAAATTTTCTATGTTATGTTACATACACTTTGTTCTTTGTAGGCTCGATTAACGAGAATTGAATAAGATAATAGATAAATTTATTTATTTAGTTACTTACTTATTATTTAATCTTGTCTATTAGAATTTAGTATAATAGACAATTTGATGACTTTAACTTTTGTTGACAAGTTGTCACAAATCGACCAACCCAACCCAACCGATACTTGATTGGGTTGGGTTTCAACATTTATATGGGCTGAGTTGGGTTAATTTTTGATCAAACTGATCATGTTGGGTTACATTTGGGTTGTGACAAAAATCGACCCAACACAACCCATGCCCACCCCTAGTTGAGAGTGCACATCTTTCTTAGTGGCCTAGATGCAGAATTCGAATAGATCGGAGGTGAGGTTCTTCGAAAGGACTCCTCGATGGACCTCGACGACACCTATGCCAATGTCCATCGAGATGTTGTACGCCGAGCTACCTTAAATGCTGAACTCGATATTCCTAAGTCTTCCGCTCTAATGGCTCGACGCGCTAAATCCCAGCCTCGACAATCCATTCAAAGAATTGATTCTAATCAAGCACGATCTCAGAAGAGCAGCTATGAGATAGGTGATACCAAAACCGAACATTTCTGCACTTATTGTGGTGAGAAAGGCCATACGAAGGCACAGTGTTATGACCTAATTGGCTATACAGATTTGTGGGATCCAGCAAAGGCACCGCGTAAGTGCAATTCGAAGCTAAACCACCAAGCCTCTGTTGTTGTAACGAAACCTTCCAATGATGTTGCAGAAGCTTCCTCTTTGATTGCTACTTCAGGTAACATTGGTAAGGTTTTCTATACTTCTACATCAGACAGTAGTAGTAGTAGTACATGGATAATTGATTCCGGTGCAACGAATCACATGACCTTTAACAGTCAGCATGTTCAGTCTATGAAACAGTCCACCACACATAGTCTCTACCGCCAATGGCAATCACTCACCTGTGATTGGAGAATGTTCAATTCCTCTCTCACATAATTTGAATCTTGATTCTGTTTTAGTTGTACCTTTTCTCAACCACAATTTATTATATGTTGCTCAAATAACCAGTGCGTTGTCTTGTGTTGTGATTTTCTGGCCTCACCTTTGTGTTTTTTAAGGACATTCGAACTTGGAAGATGATTGGTTGTGGTCTAGAAGGGGGAAACTGTACCATTTGGATATGAAACCTACTAGCTCACATCAGTTGGCTCAAACTTTTTCAATGGATCAGATCAACAAATCCTTAGAAATTTGTTTGTGGCACGGCACTTGGGTCATGCGTCTTTTGGATATTTAAAAAAATTCTTTCCAAAGTTGTTTTCTCACATTTGTGAATTTGCAAAAGTCATCGTGTATCGTTCCCATTGAGCATGAATAAAAGTCCAGTACCTTTTATGTTGATTCATTCTGATGTATGGGGGTCGGCCAAAAATCCTCCCTTGAATGGTTCTCGTTGGTTTGTCTCATTTATTGATGATCACACTCATATGACTTGGGTTTACTTGATGAAATCAAAGAATGAAGTTAACTCATTGTTTCAAAAATTTCATAAGATGATCAGCACTCTATACCAATCTTACATACAAGTTCTTCTTACTAATAATGGTGGAGAATGTGTTAATCACGACCTGATAAAGTACTTACAAGAACATGGCTTATCTCACCAGACTACTTGCCCTTATTTCCCTCAGCAAAATGGGTTTGTGGAGAGTAAGAATCGCCACCTACTTGAAGTTGTACGAGCCTCTTTGTTTGGAGCTCACATGCCCACCAGTTACTGGGGTGAAGTGCTCAATGTTGCGGCTTACCTCATTAATCATGTACCGTCTAGCTCGCTGAATTTTTAGACTCCCTTTGAAGTCCTTCATTCGACTGTAAGTGCTCCTACTGCTCCAAATTTATTACCTAGAATTTTTTGGTGTGTGGCATTTGAGCATCGTCCTAAGCTATTGCGTGATAAGCTTGAACCACGACCCTTACGGTGTGTCTTTGTTGGCTATGCCTCACTTCAAAAAGGCTACTGCTGCTATCATCCCCCATCATGAAAAATATATGTCACCTTTGACGTTTTCTTTCATGAAAATGACATGTACTATACTGTTCCCGAGTCTTCAATTCAGGGAGAGAGACGAAATAAATTGCAGACTCTAAATCTAAATCCTTCTTTGGACCATTCGGATATGAGTGGTGAATTTTTGGATAAATGTGGTAAGTGTCTAGAGGAGACAATCGGGCTGTGTGAGCAACCTGTTCTCGACCAACCAGATGCTCATTTGAATGAGGAAAATAATCAGAATCAGATGGAAGCGACTCCACTTCAAGTACCATCTAACCAATTGTATTCTGAGGACAATTCATTTCTTAACCCTAGGTACATTCTCAATCTCAATTCCTTCCAAAAGTACTACCTAATCGAACCACTAGAGGTAT